GATACCGGTGATCGCGATTCGCCGGGTAAAACACCACCYGAAACAGCTAACAACGGTAAACCACAAAGTGGTGAAACGCAAGRCTCGTCTCGACAATATCAACAGCGGCCGCAAGCCACAGTTAATCCACCTGCTGCGACTGTATTGCCGCCGCAACCGCACGAGCTGACCGCCGAGTGGACGGTTCGTGCGCAGCTAACATTCGCTCGAGCCGGCGAAAAAGTGCAGCGCGAATTCAGCTCAAACGATCCAGTGAATCCTGTGCGTGTGGTGTACAAATGGTCTRCATTTGACTCACCACTGCCGCCAGACGATGATGCCGACGTTGACCTCATGGACGATTCTTCGTCTTCAACCTTGCATAAGCGAAACTCGTTTGCCAGTCGTGGATCACGTCAATCTACACCGCTAAAGGTGAGCCAAACACGCACATCGCCRCATACGTATACAAATATATACAAACTTTTGTACTCATAGACCGCACAACACACCCGTCGTTGGCAGCAGCAGCCGCACGAAAGCTTCCGTTCGACCACCTCATCAACCAATGCCGACCTAGGTGGAGGCGATTCGGCATTTAGCGGCTCCAATACTTCTAAACAACGCCAACGACCCTACCCGCAGCAAACTCCAACCGCAAGCGCCACTGGTACGAATACAATGGGCGCTATCTACGGTACGCGCTGCCGCAGTACGTGCAACATTGTCGTCTCGGCCGTTGCGGACTTTCTACCCACAAATCATGCAACTACCGAAGACGCGACGTCTACACAAACAACGACAAATGAAGACCTCAAGGTGAGCAGTGGGCCCGGATTAGGAGGCGCGACGACACATGTCAAAGCATCAGCGACAGACTTCATTCCGGAAGAGGAGGCTGATCCGTTTGTATTCAATACAACGGCGTCGTACACTGTTTTACCTCAAGCGGTAATAGTCAATTAGAATTGAAATGAAATAAATAAGAACACAGCAAAGGCATCCAAAGAGTCGGGCCGATGTATATGTAAACTTTTGAAATCAAAAAAACATTCGCCGTTTTCTGTGATTTCGAAATATTTGAGCTGCCGAGGATTTCAGTGGTTCAACAAATCAGTGGGCGGGCGGCAAACGGGCCTTTTTCTTCATCCATCCATTGGTGTGCTTCAACGCCAACACGCGTCCGTATGTGCATATTTTGCGTGTAATCCGTTTTAATCTCCACGCTGTCTAAGCGAATCCCACAGTCCCGCTGATCGACACTTACCACCCCGCTTCGCGCCTAATTAATTAGGCGCTCATTGTGCGCAACCAACCACTTGAAGACAATGAATGTTTATTGCACTTTGTTTTTGTGGCTCTTTCGTGGACTTTTTCTCCTATAATTTTCGCATTGCTATTTTTACTCTTCGCCGCATTGGCAAAAAGTGCCAAACAAAACAGAAATGGCTCGTTGATTCGATGATGACTTTATACTTACGTTGCGAGTTCATTCGCATTTGGCACAAAAGCCAAACCAAAAACCAAAATGTAGCCAATAGATTTTTATGGATCGATTTGATTCTATTCATGCAGTTAACAATCTGTTTCAATAGCGCTGTGAAAGTGTCTCATTGATTTTCTGTAAGTATTGATTAATTCTTTGGTTTTCCGCCGACTCTGCGTGATGCCATGTGCTATAATCACAAGATATATGTATTGTATACGTTGTTGTTTTATGTTTGCCTTAGTCCATCGATTCTTCCATATCCACCGGCTCGAAGAATTTCACCACTATTGGTAAAGTACTGGCTCTTCGTGACGCTTTCTCACAGACAAGCGATACGGAGACGAAATATTTTGAAGAGCGTGAACGTGAATACGAACGACGCCGGTATGCTAATAGCCGTAGTCCGATTGACCGTCGAATAAGGCAGCATCAACTAAAAGAACAAAAGTCTTATGAAAGTCGTCGTGCCACTACGGAAGGTTTACTTCTGTCGCCTAGCGGTCGTTCTGGTGGCGGTGATTCCTATGTGGACGAGGCAAACTCATTTCTGGTAAGTTCACTTCGATGATGGTTGGAAATTTATACGGGCTAATTGACCTCTTGACTGGGACCTTCCTTAAATACAATACGAGCTAGAAAAATTTCTCTACTTCATACACTTCATACCCTTCTAGGCACTTTTCTCTTTCTAAGATCTTCAAGCATTTGGCTAAAAAAATAACCTCAAATACTGGTAGACAAGACAAGACTATATGACAGACTTTTCCTCAAAAATATTCCAAAAAATTTATACAAATTTCTAACGGTATGCTTTTCATATAGCCTTCGTTTTTAACTTCTCCATCGCATACGTTCAAATCTGCCTCTATGCCGCGTATACCATCAGTGCCAGAACAGATACGCTCCCAACAGGAGCAACAACAACAAACACTTGCCTCTAAGCAAAAATCAAATTCAAGTGAACCACTGAAGAAACCGCGAACAGTACACATTGACGTCTATTGCACGGGATCTGAAGATGATGAAGAGGAAGAGGAGGCAGCTGAAGGCGAAGATGAGGGTGATCATGCCGATGCCGAAGCATCTGCTAGTTCGAATGACGAAGATGAGAACGCAAGTAAACGTTATGAATTGGAATCAAATTCCACGCCTCAAACCGTTTTTGACAACGAACAGCTGTTGCTTAAGCACAAGCGCATTACGGGACAAATACTGCCACGGCGTTTACAACAACCCGCAACACGCGCCGATACCCAAACCACAAAAGCACCGAAAACGGAAAGCGCAGGTGAYTTGAGTCTTGGACATGCCATAACCAAGTCCAGCACTGCTGAGGAGGTATCTGAATCCAAGCAATTACTATTTCGGAAACACATTGGCGATCAACGTGCCGCCAAATTGGCAGTTTTACGTCAAAAGTATATGCGTCAATCAAGTGATGATGCTATYAGCTCAAATTATCCCAACTCATCGCGTTCTACAGTGCGCGACGCCACGTGTAGTAGCATTGCCTCGAGCGTAGTCACACCATCCCAAACTGAATATCCCGACTCACCGTGGAAGGACATTGAGGATCCAGAAGAAATATACTCACTTGCGAAGTCGGACAGTTTTGAATATGAAAATACAACCGATCGGCTGCGCATAAAGCAGATGGAGCGGTTCTGGTCGCGTACATCTTCCATGGATGAGCCAAGCGGTCAACGTCAAATGTTATCAGGCTCTCCAGTACGCGGTCATATGCAGGGAGCTTTCCTACAACCCATATCGGAAGTTAGCTCAAAGCGAAMCTCACCTTTTAAGACGCCCTTCACACGCTATGACACTTTGCCTTCCGAATCCGAAATCTTTTCGGAAGCATCTGACATTTACTACACATATCCTGGCGCAACCGCAACAACCACAACCCTGCAYTCTTCGCCTGCATACCTGCAGCAAACATCACACTTTCCGCGCAATCGTCCCGGATTTTTGCAGTTTTTCGGCCCATCTACCTCACCGAATCCACAGCAACAAACACATGTTCCATCCCACTTGACAAACACTGCACGGGAGGTAACATCAYCACCGCCTGCCGAATTGCTGTACACAGGGTATCAACCATTCCTACAGCGTTGGAAGAGCGAGACGCGTGATAATCTCTCCACACACGACACCTCATCGCCTGCAGATCACAGTAGCTGTGCTGGATCACCGCCGCTAACGTCACGGCAAATTTCGCCAGGATTTCAAAAAAGTGGTAGTGAGGCGCCGCCAACCACATCGTCAGCAGCGACTTTCCGTCAGTCGCCAATAACTGCGCGACGTTTCGAAATGAAACACGAGAGCTCTGCAATTAGCGAAGCTTCTACAACCTACTCCGGTTACACAGCCGAGCACTTGTTAAAGGCGAAGAAATTCGGCACTGTAGTAAGTGCAGCGCGTAAACCRGGCCATCATGTGGGACCAACAAAAAACCCGAGTTGTGCTTGTGAGAGCTGTCAGCGTTGGCTTGCCGARCGCTTTCAGGTACGCGGACGTGCTTTCTCTTTGGGAGAGCGCCCAATACTGCGGCGTCCCACTTGAGGGACTGGATATCATAAATTAAGAATGAATGCTCACTGCCATATATTATATTAAGGTTTAATGATAACTGAACTTCAAACCCAATATTAAATTGCATTTATGTGACATAAATGAATAAAGAAAACGTAACGATTAGGTCTGGATGTACATAATGCTGATTAACTCGTAAACTAGTTAAGCAGCTTTCAAACACATTTCACCTCAATACATGCCAAAATGAACTTTCATTGAATCCGGAATACTAAATACTCATTTATGTACCGATTGTTTGTACCTTTAACTTAAAGAGATCTAAGTGTAAAACTAATATTTGCCTAAATGTTAAGAATAAAATGGAGAGACTTATTAAAGTTTAAACAAAATGTTCCTCAATTTCCCAGCTGAATTGTAAAAGTACCAAATAAAATTCAAATTCTTTATATAAAATAAGTTTTGTACTTTTTTTTTGGAATTACTCAGTAGCTTGCAGATCCAGATATAGGCWAAAATCTTCGTGAAATTTCCAAAAAATTTTAAACAAATTAAAACTATTTGAATCGGATCTTTTGAGGTCCTGCCGAAAGACCGTTTCATGAAGATTTTTTGCGACGAAAATCTTCGACACAGTGAGGACTGCGCAGGGATTATGGTGTCTCATTGATGAGCGATAATTTTGTTTGAGATTTCATCCATGCGTATACATATGTCTTCATAACAGACAGACTTAATATCGCGGGGTAAGTATTCAAATTAATCAATGTTCATTCAGAGAGAGAATCATTGTTCTGAAATGGATTCATTTATACTAATTTCAAACCAAGTCTTGTTCAACATTTTTAATACTCAGCATTTTAAGGTTTGAATATAACAAGGTAACCAATCCAAAAACATACATTTTTTAACTTATTCACTTAAATATTTCCAAAAAATTGAACCCTTTGATGTGAGATTAATAATTAATTATTGTCATTCTGCACTCYCCTAACAGGCAAATATAAGCCTTAGTGAGTCTTCACGTAAGCTGGATCTGCTAAGGCACTCGCTTGACTTGCGACGTCTGGAATTGCCCGTGGATTCACCGGCCGCACACCAACTAAAATCGGAGCTGCAGTCGGTACAGCAGGCTTCGTCGCCAATTCCAGTCACATACACGTCCCTGCAACCCTTTCACGGCGGTCTGTTGGGCGGCAAACCATACCAACAAGTCTCCTCACTCGGCCGTTGCGCCAGCGTATCCGGTAAGCTTGAAGTGCGTTTGATGGGGTGCCAAGATTTGCTTGAAGATGTGCCTGGACGTTCGCGACGCGATAAAGATAACAATTCCAGTCCGGGAGATTTGCGCAGCTTCGTTAAGGGTGTAACGTCCCGCAGCAGTTCGAAGAGTTATTCAGTCAAGGATGAGACATCGTCTGAAATAATGGCAGTCATAAAGCTAGATAATATAACGGTGGCGCAGACATCTTGGAAGCCTTGCTCGCAACAGGCTTGGGATCAGCGCTTCTCCATCGATCTAGATCGTTCCCGTGAACTGGAAATTGGCGTTTACTGGCACGACTGGCGCTCCTTGTGCGCTGTGAAATTCTTGCGTTTAGAAGAGTTCATTGACGATGTGCGACATGGTATGGCATTGCAATTGGAGCCGCAAGGTCTGCTATTTGCCGAAATAAAATTCCTCAATCCGATGATATCGCAAAAACCGAAGTTGCGTCGCCAGCGTATGATATTCAATAAACAACAAGTGAARAACATACCACGTGCAAAGCAAATGAACATCAATGTGGCCACATGGGGCCGTTTGCTGAAGCGCAATRCACCCTCCAGTTCGCACCTCGCCACCGAAGGCACAACACGCGGTAATTCACGCGACAGCGAATCGCCCATTTCACGCTCACCCTCGTCCGGGACAATCGATGCCGAACCCGAACCATATTCACCCGGCCAGCAGGCACGTAATTTGGAATATGATCCCGACGCGGGTGTGCACGATCACGTCGAAACACCTGGTGAATGTCCTGATCCCGAAGTGAGCGGTCTGAGTGGCATGCGACCACTTTCGATGCAGGGCATTGCAGTGCTGCCACCGGAAGTGCCTTCACAACCTACACAATCTTCTACACCACAACAACAGCAGCAGCAGCAGCAACAACATTTATCTACGAAAAACAATAACTTGCATTTGCAGATCGCCGGGAAGCATAGCTCAAAGACAACTGCTGAAGTTGTCGGCGGCATGCCGCTGGGCTCGAGACCCACTTCGAAATTGCCAACACCCACGCAGACGCAGCCGCCACCCATTCCGACCACGGCGCCACCTAAACTCGATCCAGAGGTAAGTGATAACGTGCAAACAACAACAAAAATAAATGCTTCACTCATAGAAAACATCGAAGACTGTATGAAGAAAACTTCAAGCAGGATTTTATTTACTGTTGTGGTTATTAATTTGTAATTTTTGTTTAGTACGCGTTGTATATTATTAAGTATATATATTGCTCAGTTCCGTTATACTATTAGCTTGTTAAGCAACTGTGTGATATTTTGSCGTTTTAAGTGGAATTGGTGTTTGTTGTTGCTCTTGTATTAGGCTATTGTAAATATCTAGTTGTATTGAAGTCAGTAAATGTAACGGTGTTGGAATATTTTTGAACCAAAATTATTATTTTTAACCATTTAACAAATTTGAACACATTTATATCGAAATTAATACATTTCTTAAAAATTAACATGTAGACTTCTGGCTAAAAACTTATTTGAGGTTAGGTACTTTATTTTAAAGTTTTTAATTTTGAAATTAGCATCGAAACGAGCAACTTTGTCTTAAAAATGTAGATAAAACTCAATATTAAATTTTTGGTTAGACTTGAACTCAAAAYAGGGCAATGGCGATTTAATAGACGCTGGCGGTAGCTCTTAGTTGCATGCCTCATACATGATTGTGTAATATTTTTCATGACAATTTCGTTGAGTACTTTCTAGTAATTATGGTTAAACTATGGAAGGTTGAATACTGCCGAAGATTGTTGGGCCTGACCCAGATAAGATGTGTCTACGACCTGTCTTTTGCTCAAATGGTGAAACTGTTGGCAGCCTTAAAAGATATCGAGTAGCAACTCTATTTTCACATTTCTTTTGCTTAGACCTAAGGGCCCTTTAAAGTAGCGTATGTCGGCGTTCAGTCGGTTCAGTTAAAATGAAGTCTGATGACTAGTTTTCACTGTTGTGTCAAAAGCCATCAAAAATACCCAACTTTAAACTAAAAATTTGCCGTTGGAACCTTTTTTCTTTTTACTTGGGAATAAATTATATACAATTTGGCAGACACTTTTTATACCCATTCAAACTGAACGATCAAAATCAACAAAATGGTCAATTGTGAATGAAAAACAATCAACACTCACAGCTGTTTTATGTTATGATGTTATTTTATTTTATAGCATAAGGCTTTCATACAATCCGAAAGGTATAAATCACTCTTCGGTGGAAAACCGAAGAAACTGCAGTTAACGTTTCAGCAAAAGTGATTTAATAACTGCCAATGACAAAATCAAAGGAGGCCCAATTTAATATGATTGAGTCTACTCTATAAAAGATATTTTCACCAAYAACCATCAACAGTTCAACCATGATTGCTAAGAGTTTCGACTTTCATCTACTTTATACATACATATTTGTAAATATATTTTTGTGAAATGAAATCCAGAAATATTGAATATATATATATTTATTTATATACTTAAGCCTATATACTTTTATTTATTCCCTGTAAAAAAAAGAGTTAAATACCCTCTGTCTCTTCGTTAGCGATCCCCACCCTCTCATGCATTTTGTACGCATTTTAGTTTTGTGTCATTTTTTGTGTTTGCGAATATGTTTTCTTTTTTTGTTGTTAATCGACGACAGTTACAGAGCGCATTGCGTGAATTCGATTTTCTCAATCAAATGGACTCACAGCCCAATACACTGCAACGGCCGGTGCATCAATACAATCGACAACAACAACAACAGCAACAGCATGCGCAACAGCAACCACCAACACTGCAACCGAAACCCCAACAACAGCCCATGCAGCAGCAGTACATTGYCTCGGCCGCCCAACAAACACTCCAGCCATATCACACACTGCCCACTCACCAGCCAATGCCATTGCAGCAGTACCAGCMACCGGTCGCTGGTGGTCAGGGTCGCCAGCAGGGTTCAATGCCAACAACTCCTGAAGCCAATAGCCAATCGGTGGTGGCCCCGCATTTCGTTAATACAGCAGTGGCGAATAATAATAGTAAATACAATGTGCCGCATGTGGCACGCCAAACTAGTCAAAGTAGTTTCAGAAACCAGCAGCAGCAGCAACACCAAAACTACAATAATAATAATAGCAATGCAAATGCGACGGTCGGTGGCATGGCYAATATGTACCATCGTCCAGTGCTGGCCATGCCGCCGGTGATATTGATGGGCGGCGAGCTGGGCTCCGTCGATATGACCAGTCCGATAATTGAGATGCCACCGTCACCAGCGCCGAGCGCATTGCCGATTGTGGAGTATCCCGATGACGATGAGTATGCGGCGCTCGATGTTGCGGCGACGAGTTACAGCACCGATGCTGGTGATCGTTTCTGTGTCGAGGTTAGGATTAATATTATTTTTGTGTTTTTTATGTTTCATTGTTTTCCTGCACATTTTATGTTTGTTTTAATAGTTTACAGTTATTTATGTTTGACGAGTTTTTCTTACATACATACATACATACATACATATATAAGCTAAAGGCGAGGCTGTAAAGCCTGTTTGGATTTTTTAACTTGTCCAGCATGTTATTTACACAGTTTGGATGAAACATTAAATTTAATAAAATCGATTTCGGTTTATGCTCTGTTTTAAAAATCATTAAAGATTTAAAAATTATTTTTTTTTTCACTTGAGTTGAGCAATCAATTTACTTTGTTTTTTTACTTTCGTGTTTTTTTTTGTTTAATTTTGTTTTGTGTTTTTCATTTGACTTGTTTTTAGAGTTTATTTTATTTTTATATTTTTACGTTTTTCGTGCAAACTTTTAACATTTCAATATTTTGAACACAAGCGTGTATAGAAAGTAATAAAACTTTCCAATTTTATCACTCAATTTGTTTATAATTAAAATATTACTTTTTTTGACTTGTAAATAATGTGCAACAGTCCACGGTAGTCCTTTGTTTTTAATCTGTAAATAACCTCACTCGAAAAGTGTGCTAGAAATCCACATCCCTCACACCAATTTGTGATTATCTCTTAATCCCTCGTAACCACTTGTATTTAGCGTCCTAACTCTTAAATGTTGCGAATAAATTGTTGAATTTTTGAAATAACCTGCACATAGTTATGTAAGCATTGCATATAAATCACACGCCAGCGCTCCCACACTCACACACTTAAGTTTTGAAATGCTATTAATAATTTTATTATATATTAATATCTGTKATGCTAAAACCGTTTCCATTCCGTCAAACTAATTCTTATTTTTATATAAAATTTTTTTTCCTAACTTCGTAATAGAAAAAAAATATTGGGTAGTCGAAAAAGTATTTTCGTTTGACCAGAACCGTCACATAAGCAGCCATAACATAGCCACGGAACTTAACATCGATCATCAAATGGGTTTGAACCAAAAGAAGCTCGATGTTTGGGTACCACATGAATTGACTGTTAATTGGAGAGGAATCTGCTCCAGCCTGGTTCGAACGATTGATTCTACGCGTTACTGTCAACAACTGATGAGATTCAAACAAGCAATCCAAAAAAAAAAAAAATAAAACGGTCAGAACTGATTAACAGAAAGGGCTTCCTCTTTCATTAGGACAACGCTAGACCGCTCGCATATTTGATGACTCGGCAAAATTTGGGAGAGCTTGGCTGGGAAGTTTTGATGCATCCACCATATAGCCCTGACCGGCTTACCATTTGTTTCGGTCAATGCAGAACTCTCTTAATGAAGTAAGGTTGGCTTCAAGAGAAGCCTGTGAAAATTACTTGTCGAAGTTTTTCGCCGAGAARTCAGAAAATTTTTATACTAATGGAATAATGTCTATAGCGGAAAAATGGCAAAAAGAGGTCAACCAAAATGGTACATATTTGGTCCATTAAAGTTCATTATAAATATAAAAAATATGTTTGATTAGAATACGAAAATACTTTTTCGACTACCAATATATWTTTTTTAATTTTCGTTTATATTTAATAAGCGAGTTGCTCAAGAGTGTYTATAAGGTACATATAATATTTCAGCTGTCAAAAAATGGAAAAATGGTCCATTTTGTTTGGGTTTTGAAAGAGAGAAAGAGTTTCACCAAATTTCGTTGGTTTGCTTTCGACAGAACGGCGCTTATCTAGGACGCTGTTTTAATTAAAATCACTAAGTAAAAAAACATCATAAACATTATAAAACGTCATAAACATCATACTCGTCGGATACAGTTCCTTAAGCGTTTTTCACAAGAAACCAGAAGTAAACAAAAAAATGCAATAGTTGAAGATTGCAATTCTTACTCTCTMATACAGTTTCCAGACATATTCGYCCATACATGCAAGCATTTTTTACATCGCGATACATAGCTTCGGGTTTTTCGATCACCAAATACGTCACTATTAATGCCATAACTACGCCCACGACCTGTCAGTCTTCAGTCTTTTGTTTTTATGTTGCTCTTAATTGCTTATGACCCTGTTTAAAAATAACGAATTCAAATAATACAAAATATTTATTCGTCGGTTGAGAAAGTCTTTGAATCGTCAATATTCAGGTGTGAAGATGCCGTGTCCACTTAATTTATATTCAATGCGCCAATGTCAAAATTGTTGGAATCGGCATTTTGCGCTATGAAAGATCAACTACAAAATATACTGAGTATAATGCAGTCGACGCTGTGACGACAGCGCATGAATCGGCGACCACTGTTCGCCCACTGCCTCACAGCTACAGGCGGCAACAGCACTCTGGCAAACAAAAAAGTGAAATTATTTTTAAATCATATAAATTTATAATATTTTTGTTGCGTTTTGAATGGCGTTCTTAATTAAAAAAAAATATTTTTTCATTTTATACATATATGCGAGCTCTCTATTTTCCTGAAGCTTTTATACATTTAACTTAGTTCAAAGACAATCTGCGTCTTATAAGGTACGTGTGCCATCCGAAAAAAAAAAAAAAATAACAAAATGTTACTTCTCTCTTGTTTAGACATTTAAAAGCAAATATTTAGGTACATACGTGCTTTTCGTTTAGKTGTGACATTTTGAAATGAGAATTTGAAGAGAGACGGGTCAAAATTACATTCGAACGTAGAAAACAAAGTGGCCTTCAAAGGAGCTTTTTTTTTTTTAGATATTTTCAAAACGACTAACTCTTCCGCCAACAATTAATTTAGAAAGCAAGAATATACAAGCAATTTAGGATCGACAGCTAATTCTTGGCATTGTTTGAGATATATATACAAACAATGCTTCGGTGAATTTAATTTTAATTTAACTGAATTTAAATAATTCCATAGAAAACCCATAATTTTTTGTTTTATTAGTTTGTGTATAATTCTTTGGAATTCGTGACTGAGTCACTGCACCCTTACTACATACAAGTACATTTATTTTTATTGTAATCAAGAAACCAACTCACACCTACTTTAGGGCTAAGACATTTACTAAAATCGATTTAGCGATCAAATCAGAAGTATATCCATTAAAATGCACAACASTGTAGTTTATTTATTATAATAACTGTCTCCACTTTATGCCGCTCTTCTACGGCGCTCGTGTGCTAATTCTTCTTCTTTTTTACCGCTTCTATGTAGTCATGATTTCTTGTGACAAAGGCCTGTTGAGAGAAGTAGTTCGATTGGCRGTGGCGTTTGCCGCTCTGCTTTAGTTCTTCAAGATCACGGTCGTTAACAGTACAGTGTACGAGATTCTTCGCCCGTCGTTTGTAGAATCTCCGTGTTTTGTTGAATTTATCGCAAAAATTCACAAATATTTGTTTTCATCTCGAACTCCACAGCGGCATACATTTAGGCGCCTCCCTCGATAATAAGTTTGCGGCTACTTATTTGACCTTTCGTCGCGGAAATTTGGTTGTGCGTTCGGTTCGCTAATGTGTCGTCCGCGATTGCATTAGCAGTTGGGAATGCTGGACATGTTGCCAACCTTTCARTTGGTTGCAAGCGTCGTCAAGCAGCTGTGCACCTCCCAATTGCAGCAGTATCAAGGCAATTCCAAGTCGAACAACAAACTGCTGCTGAAATTCAAACGCTCGGCATTGACATCGGCGGCCGCCCTTCTCTGCCCTACAGTCTATGCAGCTCACGCGCCGCCAGCTTTGCTGCAGGCCTCCGCTGTAGGTTGCGCATTTTTCTCCCACACCCACACAAGCGCCTCGTAGTACTATAGGCTATGTCCCATATGTGTGTGTGTGTGTATAAAAAATGTGATTTAAATAAAATTACTAATAAAGCAAACGTAGAAAGCTAGTACCAAAACAAAAATAAAAAAACATGTAAATTATTAATAAATTAGCGAGGTGCTCTCCATTAAAGGTGCTAAACTACGTAATTACACGTTTTTGTTGTATTTGTGTATTTGTGTATTTATGTATTTATGTTTTGTTGTTTATATAAATTCTTGTGGCCATATTTGATATTTTCGTCACCGCTCTTCGCACCCATTCAACGTTTCTTCACCGTTTTGTGTTCCTAAATGTTCATCAGTTCTGTTCTGTACACCTGTGTGTGTCTGTGTGTGTCTGTGTGTATTTATTGTTGTACATCTTGGCATATTTCATGCAGATTTTAAGCTCAACAAAGCAAAAACCAATGTCGCAAAGTGTAAAACGCTTAATTTTTTCTTTCGCCCCTTGTATTCTGTGCATTTATACCGTTTGCAGGCGCATATCAATGTTGTACACATAACAATTGARCCTTTAACAACAACATCAACTMCAACAACAACAATATATCCAACAACCATAACAACAACAAAAAGCATACACATTGCCGATAGTAAACAGAATGAGATTAACACTTCGCCAACAACAACAACATCGGCGACACTGACTGATAATGAAATCGAAACCGAAATCGAACTTGAAACGAAGAGTCTAAGCGATTGCTTGAAATCGAATAATGGTTCACCTCGTACTGAATTAGTTACGGTGACGGAAGTGTACGACTACACAATTGAAAGTGAGAAATTAGGAACGAAATGTGCTAATGAAAAATCAGTGCAGGTAAAGTGATCACTCGGMTACACACATACTATACATATGTACATACATACAYCCACCTGTATGCGCCGTCTAKTGTTCGATATTCCACATTTTTACTGCAGTAACTTAAACTTAAACCTCGCCCTGGTTGTATTTAATTAATTTTTGAAAGGCTTGAGAAGTCCCCACAAGCAATCCCTGGATTGTAGATCTTGCGTGAGTCTACACTGCGTTTACCTCGGGTGTGTGTGAGTGGGTCTTTCTCCCAAGATTTCTGTGCAACATATCAATTTTATGTCTTCGTTTAATTTCATGTTCCTTGAACATTTGATGAGGCCCCAATTTCATGAATTTTTTGGCAATGATATTTTTACCATACACAAAAACAATTTCAGAAGTGATTTTCAATAGACTTTTGCGTCCTTGAAGTTGCTATCTCAATAAACTGCAAACTGAAAACAAAATTGTTCAAAAAAATAGAGCCTTCTCTAAAGTAAAAATCAACTTTTTCCCTAATTTTTCAACATTGTCGAATATTTAAAAAACAATACGAATTTCAAATTTTCATATTTTGTTGCTTCATGCGAWAGARAGATATTTAAAGAATATAGTACTGTGATCAAATTGAAAGGTGAATTTTCAATTTATACTTCGCATGTTTTTCGAACCGGTTTTTCTGTCAGTTGGTCAAAATATTCATAAGTATTTGAAATACGCGTCGTTTTGTGAGGCTCTAAAAGTGAATTCTTCGATTTTTCCAAGTCTGAATTTATTGAACAAAGAAGTGCGAAAACGYACCATCTCATACTGCAATGCTTATTCGTGATCATTTCGCCAAAAATTCAACAGATATTGTTCCGCCTGATTTGGCCCCGTGTGACTTCCGGCTGTTCAGCTAACTCAAAAGACCACCCCGAGTGCACCGTTTTGACTCAAATTGAAGATATAAAAGCTTAATCGATGAAGGCTCTGATGGCTACACGACGGAGGATTTTTCCAAGTGCTATGATGACTTGAAAATTGAAATTTTGTATCAACTGCATTGAACAAACGACAGTAAAACGGCTATAGTATTGAAAATAATTTGAATTTTGAAAAAAAAAAAATTTTTTTTGAGAAAAATTTTAAATATGTTTTTTGTGTTTTTTTTTTTATTTCTAGGCTGAATAACCCCTTAAATAAGTTGCACCTTGCTTTTAAAATCGGTAATATTTGTAGCGGTAGCATCAGGAAAAGACTCCTCCTTCCATAAAGTAGACAAATTGTTTCAGTTTCGGTATAGAAAAGTGAATTGTGGTCGTAAAAGTTTGTGTAAAAGAACAATATTTCAGATTCTTCAAATTCGAAATTTCATTAAATATATATAATAAAAAAACTTTCTGAATGTAATTTATTTCAGAAAATGTAGTACGTGACGAATTCGCAATGTACTTAAAACTAACTGATATAGTATCCGTATATATATTTTTTTCTAAAGCAAAAATAATTGCAAGCTTTAACACTTTTTATGAATTTGACGCACTGCGCTGTATTAGAGAGCTCTATAAATATGTACATGTGCCTTAAAGATTGTTAAGTAGGCAGCTTTCAACTTCGCTGTTGTGTTACAATGTCTTATAAATATATCTAATAATATTTAAGTTTTTAAAGTTTTTTTTTTTTTTGAATTATTAAACGAAAGTATTTTTGAGCGTAATTGAAATTACGCAAATATTTCGTTTCCTATCCTAAGCGTGTACTAATGATGATTCGTACATTTTAGATTATACCACAATTTGGCAATTTATCAGTCAACAGCAACAATAACCAACAACAAAAGCAATATGTGCCCGACTCACCGATTGTACAGGAGCCGCCAACACCCACCGTCTACGCACAGGCTGCGGTGCAGACGCCGCATTTCCCACAGGCAGCCCAGCGTCAAGGCTACGCAGCGCCACCTGCATCTGCTGCCTACCAGCAACAGCCCATCTACCAGAATCAATACGAGCTCAATGCGGCTGSAATGCCGCCGCCGCCAGCCGTGGGCACAGGCGGACGTCGCAATGTGGCACGCGGTTTACAGTATCGCGACTCCGCTTACGAGTCACGCCGCCAATCGCAAGCCATCGGCGGCGGCGGCGGTGTGCCGCCAGGCATGCTGTCCATTGACAAGTTCCGGCTGCTGAGCGTGCTGGGGCGCGGACACTTTGGCAAGGTCATATTGTCGCAGTTGCGCAGCACCAACCAATATTATGCCATCAAGGCGCTGAAGAAGGGCGATATTATAGCACGCGACGAGGTTGAGTCGCTACTGAGTGAAAAGCGCATCTTCGAGGTAGCCAATGCGATGCGTCATCCATTTCTGGTCAATTTGTACGCGTGTTTCCAGACCGAAGTGAGTTCTTAATTTTTTTCTATTTTTTTTTTGTTTTTGTAATGTCATTTGTTTGTATTTGATTTTGTAGCAACACGTTTGCTTTGTTATGGAGTATGCGGCCGGTGGTGATCTGATGATGCACATTCACACCGATGTGTTTTCGGAGCCGCGYGCCGTCTTCTATGCCGCCTGTGTGGTACTCGGCCTACAGTATTTGCATGAAAACAAAATCATATATCGTGATTTRAAACTGGATAATCTACTTTTGGACACAGATGGTGAGCGCCTAATCACGTGATGAGCTGCCAAACATCATGTTCGCTCTAATCCAAACTCATTTTAGGTTATGTGAAAATTGCTGATTTCGGTTTGTGCAAGGAGGGCATGGGCTTCGGCGATCGGACGGGCACTTTCTGTGGCACACCGGAATTTTTGGCGCCMGAAGTGCTCACAGAGACGTCGTACACACGCGCCGTGGACTGGTGGGGTTTGGGCGTACTGATATTCGAAATGCTTGTCGGSGAGGTKAGTGAACGAAACTTTGTAAAAATGTTGTGCAATATTTAAATCATTGTATCAATTACAGTCTCCATTCCCTGGCGATGATGAGGAGGAAGTTTTCGATTCGATCGTTAACGATGAAGTGCGCTACCCGCGATTCCTGTCACTGGAGGCGATTGCCATTATGCGTCGGGTAAACTGAAATTATATTACAATAATATTGAGGCAATTATAAACGTGTGTACTTCTTTAATGAAAACTTTAGTTATTGCGCAAGAATCCAGAACGCCGTTTGGGTTCTTCGGAACGCGATGCGGAGGATGTGAAGAAGCAAGCGTTCTTCCGTTCAATCAGTTGGGATGACTTGTTGCTACGTAAGGTGAAGCCGCCTTTTGTGCCGACTATCGTAAGTATCCGCCTTAAAATGTGGAAGATAGATGTATAATATATAATCTAAAAATTTCCTTCACAGAACCATCTTGAGGATGTATCGAACTTCGATGAGGAATTCACCTCTGAAAAACCGCAGCTGACGCCTCCAAAGGAGCCAAGACATTTGACTGACGAAGAGCAACTATTCTTCCACGACTTTACATACACCGCCGACTGGTGTTGATAACTGGCAAAAGCGCAGCTCAATTGATTGTAAAATACTGGGAGAGCGAGAACAGTGCGAATGAATTTTCCGCCTTGGTACTGCGAATGTTGGTCGTTATTTGGACACTTATTTTACCGTTTGGAATATACGATTTTGTAAAATGCTTCGCTCTAACTTGTTCAAATGTTTGGTGTGACCATTGCTCTTTAATTCGATTGTGTATTAGTTTAAGTAAACAGTAATTTGAATAGAACACATAGCTCGGCTAGGTATACAAAACAATATGCATTATTACATAATAAAAGAAGCATGTTATTTAAGAGAAGGTGAAAAATTATTTATAAAGAAAAAACAACAATTTTACATACATTATACGCGAATAAAAATACAAAAAAATATTAATGATTTATGTAGAGTTCATTAAAACATAAAAAATCCCGAAATTGAAGTTGGTTTAACTAAAAAAGGATTTTCAATGTTTGCTTTAAACAAATTTATTTAGAACTCAACTAATTACGTGAGGAATTTTTAATAATGTTTGACAACAAACAACCGACTAACAAAAGCAGCTATTTGAAAAATGTGCACCTAAGAAAGTATACAAAATATCGCGAAAATTGAAGAAAACTTCTATGCATTTTGTTTTTGCAAAATTTTGTAAAATGAGAGATGAAAGTAGATTTTTAGTATAAATAAAGATATTGTATTATGTTGAAGTCAAGAAATATCTGCATGCCTTTAGATTAAGCGGAGTCTAAATTAAGTAAATTGTTGATTTTAACAAAAATTTAGATGCTAAACATAACTCATTTTACCGTTGCAAGTTTTTTACGCCATTTACTTAACATAAATGGAAAAGCAAACTTTTTTGCTAACAGAAAGTAACTGAGTTAGCAATTCTGCATAGCATCCACAAGCAAAAAATTGTTGTAAATATTTTTTTTTGTCATTCTTTAAACAAGTTTTACACACATACATACATATACATAAGCAATAAATACTAAAAAGTAAAGTAAAGCGATAAATTCGTATATAAATATACATACTTACCTATATTCATATTATAAGTACATACATATATACAGAAAATATGAATCGAAAATTGAAATGATACGACTACCAAGTCTAATCCACAATCTAATCTTATATGTAAGGTTGCGCTTTCTGAATTTACAATGCAGTTAAAACAAACAGTTAACGGAAAATAAGTTTCCGATTTGAAGAGTTCTATAAAAATTTGCTCAAACCTTAAACATAGATTGTACCTTTGGTGATAAGAAGTTGCAATTTCAAAATCATTGTTGTTTTTGAAAGGTATAAAATTTTTAGTTTGAATTAATTTCTTTTGAAACTAAAGGTGAGTTGAATTAAACGTCGCCCAAGTATAATAACAAAAGTCCAAATTTTGTCTTATTTACTGTTGGTTTTCAAATACTTTGCATATATACATATTCGTTCAACAAAACGGGTTATTGAAACATTTTGTGAACTGATAGAACACAATTTTGCTTGCTTTAAGCTATTTGGCGTATCTTTGCTTGCACATGCATGATAATAACTGTATTCATCATCTGTTTGTAATCGCATTATTTATAATTATTGTTTATAATATACATTTTCCCTATTAGTTATTACTTTGTTTTTGAGTAATTTTAGTTTCTTATTTTAATTATGCTTAAACACTTTTCAATGAAAATATTAATTTCAATTGTAATAAATACCTATTAAATTAACTGGGTTTTTTCAATGAATCATGTATTGTAGAGATAAAAAGTAAAAAATAACTGACAAGTTGGCAGTTCTTCAGTTGTCTGAGTGCACTAAATTTCCAAGTCCTGCAACTTTAAACCTAGGATATAAATATATATATGTACATACATATAAGTATAGAGAAATCGATTGTCAACATCTCTAGAAATGACTTGACTGTGAGCACTGATTGAAACAAGAACACGRGCAAATGCAAATGAACATATTTATTCTCACAAAAGTAAAATACTTCACATAAAGTGGTAGAAACGTCGTCAATAGGGTATGTTCCACCACGTACTATTCAAATCTTTACATGCTTCGGTGGGTACATTGCGAAAGTGATAACCGGTGATAGCTTTATTCGCYCCCCAGTTTGTTAGCTTGCCAGCGRCATCATAAAACTTCACCAACAACCAGAATTCGGTAGGACGCAGTGAATTTGCCAAGTTGCCGTATGAAATGACTAGATGCCAACCTACATGGCCGCCAATTTCAGCTACATAGTTGCGTATCAAGCCCTCTACATCGAACCAACCCCGTTGTGGTGCACGTATGCTATTACCAGCCACCAGCAGTTTTCGATTAATCATAGGACTCTGTGGCACAAAATTATACGCCTGTAGAGTACCACCTAAAGACGGTGCCAATAGATGACCAGCTTCATCGTTTTCGTCCTGTTCCAATTTTCGTACATGATCACGTACGGCTTGAGAGTCTGGCGGCTTTCCGCTGGTCAAATGCTCCCGATATATTTCAGCATTCATTGCTACAGTTAAGTTGATTGTTGCACCTTTCTTTAACTTTGAATAGGACTTGATGGCAGTTTTGCGATCATTAATCTTTACTGTTACATAGTAGTCATCTTTCATGATATCGGCTATGTAATCGTTGATGAAATTGAAATCAGTGCAGGCCTCACTGGAGCCACCATAGTTCATTACTCGCTCTACTCGGGGATATAAAGGACCGCATTTCAGTTTTGATTCCTCGCTACAATATGATTGTGGATTAACTAGAACCGGACAAAAAGGTGGAGTTTGTTTTACTTTTCGTACAATRTAATTCTTATCATTTAAAAAATGCATGAACTGAACACCATCGATTGTAAAGGGAAACGCTACATGGTAATAATGTTCCCATAGACCTAGTGCATGTACACTTCCCATTTTGCCACTTGGTTTGAATTCCTGTATGAACCAATCCTTTTTAGATTGGTTCAAGCCATAATAGTATTGCTTTCCGCGCATAGAAAACGGGTAATAAAGTATAGGTTTCTTTCTACATTGTCCATTTACGATCTCCTTACCCATTTTACCACCGCTGATCACTTCCCTTGTGGACCATCTAGCCGTATCGGTTAAGTAAATAAATTGCCTACCTTGAATCGAAAATGGAAATCCAAGTGTGTAATATTTTATCCATTTTCCGTTATCAGTCTGCTTACCCACGGTTCCAACTGATTTCAATTGTTTCATGTACCAGGTTTGAGATGAAACGGTCAGTACAAAATATTCACGATTAACATTAACTGGGAATATAAGATTGGGTGTTGAATCCCAAAATCCCCTGGATGTCTCTTTACCCARGCGTCCGCCTGTTAAGATTTCTTGAATAAACCAATAATTCGATTCGGTAATGGCGTACACAAATTGTTTGCCTTGAATATTGTAAGCGAATCCCTTATTATAACTATAAACGAATTTCCCTTTGTCCGTATACGGACCCAATGTTCCATCCTTTAGTAATTCTTTGATGAACCAATAATATCCACCCAAAGCGAAGAAATAAGTTTTACCATCCATTTTGAGTTCAAGGAATATTTCGTACTTTTCTGAATAGTAACCGTGTTCGGTTTCATTGCTGATCGTCACTCCAATGCAACCCACCTTAGCAATCGCTGTAAAAGCGTATAAAAACAACAACAACATTTTATGATGCCACGTGCCACCAAGCAGTTATTTGAGTTTGAAAATGAATTAAATTTGTTACTACTGTAGCACTGCAGTTTCACGCTGGCTCTTAATAACTTCGATATCAAGCAGCTAACGGTAMTATCATCACATTGCACGTGAATTTTATTACAAATTGTTGGAGAAGTGTCGCTTTCAGCCAAACAAAGTTTCGAATTGCAAATTTATTTCGAGAACTAATTTCAACCTGCTAATGATGTAGGTGTTCGACCATTCTGGTGGAATAATGAAATAATATTTAGGACCGTAGCGAATATTAAGTTCTTAATAAARATCATAATGAATTGTAATGGAATTTAAATGTACTCGATAAAGCGAATCGACTTTTTTCCGTCGATAAATAAAAATATGTTTAAAAAAATTCTATGAAATTCCATGAATACTTGCTCAAAACAGACATATTCTGTTCTCTAAAGTTTTATTTAGTTTTGTACATTAAAGTTATATAGTATATTTTTAAATATCAAGTTAGCGAACAATTTAACTGTTCGAAGTTATTTCTTAATTTCATTTAACTTACTTTTTATGAACTTCGGTTTTCTTTTTAAACATTTAAATCATAGATAAAGTAGTAATATTAGTACTACATTAATTAAATCAGCACGAATACGTATAAATTTCAGTATTTAGTAAATGTTTTCTCTAGCTTTTTGAGTATTTAGTGTTATAAAAGGTGAAATTAATTTGATATTACAATGTTATATTAGAATTACGTGCCTAATTGCATATGAATGAAAAACCTCACACAAAGTGTATTAAAAGTGCTAAATATTATATGAAACCCTTAAAAAAATAAATTTCAAATTCATATAAAGTTAGAACAGTAACTCCAATAAAGCCATTCATATTTTGCAAAGTTAGATCCTATATACATATTAAAATAATAAAACATATTTTTACACTAAGATCATAAACGTATTAATTAAAAATAACATAACTACAAAAGAATTAATAAATAAAAGATTGTGAAGTTATGCTTCATTTAAATTGTGAAAATTAAGCAAATCAAATTTTCATATATTATATAGTCATTGCGTATTAATAAATTTAAAAAAGTGATTCATTTAACACCAAAATTAATACGTGTTTTATTTATAAAAAACATATCAATGAAAATTTTGTTTTAACTAGGGTGAAGGAGAGATATCGGGAACAATTCCTCTCGGGCTTGGAGTTTTCAGCTACAATTTTTTGCAGACTTTGAACAACAAATCATTGTATTCATCTACGTGGTCCGCTTTTCTGCTACGGGSCTGCATACATACATATGTAGCCAAGAAGTTACCGTTAATGATTTTCTTATCATTTTGCACAACAACTGGGTTTTTTGATTACCCCCGAAGACATTTGGTAATACAAAATATTTGATGATGTATCGCAAACGGCAAGTGTAAAGCATGTACTGAAACATTAAGTTAACGTAAGCATCATACTTCAATAATGCYATTTTGCATATTTTAATTAAAAAAATGTGTCGTATAAAAACAGATATTTTGAAAAAGCGGTTACTTACCATTTTGTCAGACATTTCTGAATATTTTCAATATCGAGTAGGTTTAACGGTTGACTTGACAGCACAGGAATAAATGCTACGAAAGCGTCGTCACGTTGCCCTTGTAAATAAACCAAATTCAAGTCAGAATTGTAGCATTTTTCCAAATTCGTTATTCGTCTGTCTATTAATACAACATTTACATTCGTTCATTTCTTATTGGATTAATTTAAAATTACCACATTGTAAGTCCAAAAACACTCGGGCGCCCAATGCACATTTCACTTGATCCTTGCTGCCYAGTACTTGGAAATCTCGCAGCTGTAAAACATAAACAAAACATGARCAGTTTGAGAGGCTTTGGTTCCCTGGCCGATAAAACTGTGATTAAACACAGCTGTAAAATTCGTGACTACCACTCACCGTGCCAACAAAATTCATCGCAAATCTAGCTTCAATTTTAGATAAGTKGAGAAAATTGTATAAGAGTAATCAACGCGCTGAAACTTATTCCGAAAGTTGTAACATCAATTTGCGGAATAACAGTTTATCACAGATCATTTTTCGACGACTGAAATCCCCTTTACTTCACTTTGCACTGCTATGCCGACGATAAGCGTTGCCAGTGCGTGTTGTTTGTCAAAAAATGCACATGGTAAGATAATTAAACAATTAATTATAAATTTYGACTTTCTTCATTTTCTTGATTCTTATTTGGTGAAAAGTAGAAAGTTTTTGTTGTTTTAATTACAATAATTTATCAATGCAATTTATGAATAGCAACCTTAGATGTATGGAAATGACGAATTGATTTCATTTCACCAACCCGTCTTTACAATGGCTTTAAAGTTTTAGAGATATTGGTCAAGAAACTKTTCATTTKTCGGAAGCGCTGATATTGGACCACTATAGGATATATRTATTAGAATAATTTTTAATTTGAAAAATTATCTTCATGAAATTTGGCACGGATTATTGTGCAAGAGAACGATACAATCTTCGAATACATTGCCTGCATCGGAGCACTATATTATGTAGCTGTCATTGAAACTGACCGTTAAAAATCGAGATAAAGATCTTTTTACCCCTTTATGCTATTTTTCGTTTTTAGGTTTCATCTACGGAGATAGCCGGAATTATTGTCACAGAGGAAAATATTTTTATCTTTCTAGTGAAGGTGTGAGTCAAAAAGAGGTGTCTCTTATCCGAGACTGGCTTGTTCTTTCATTGAGGTCCCAAACCTAGCGCACCACCCTGGGGAGGGATATGTTGTGTTCGCACTTTGGCTCGCCTTCAAATGGATGTTTTTTTGGCAACCCAGAGGATATTTGGTCTARGACCGGAAGTCGTGAGCTACTTGAGCCATATGTAAAAGAATCGTTTCTAGCCACAACCATGTGAATGGCGCTCACTTGCATGAACTTCTAAACATGACTCCATCTTGGAAAAGACCCGTGAAAAGAGAGTCGACTTCGACCACCACCTCTGCTTTTGACAGCACGGAAAGCAGCCGCCTTTATGCCGCTATGTCGCAAAACTAATACGGTCGTATAAACTACTGTTGAGCAATACCAAAAGTTTCATCAGGATCGGGAACTCCGAATCGATCGATACAAAACGATTTTTCAGACAAGTCGGCTCYCTGCGTGCGACTTCTTCAATTTCTGGAGAAAATAATTCGAACTACAGATCTRAATAGAGAAGGTCCAGTCTTCTACTCGAGTGTTGGCTCCCACGTCACTGTTGACAATCATACACCAACAACACCAACAAAAATGTCAGCCTCTAAGTCCAACGCAGAATAATTCTTGCCAACAGGATTTTAAGAAACAACATGGACAGATGAAAACACGGCAGCTCCAAGAGTATTCAACGCAGTACCCGCCGAGGGACGTGGAGGAAGAGGAAGACCTCCACTCTGTTGGAAAGACCAGGTAGAGAAGGACCTGGACGTGGAATCTCCAATTGGCGCCAAACAGCGAAAAGCAAGAGTGACAGGYTCGCTGTTATTAACTCAGCTATAACCGCGTTAGCGTATACACCAATAAAGAAGAAGAAGGTGTGAGTAAAATGCGATAAAAAAAGATTGAGAAATGGCTTGGGTGATAAGCCCATCACATGTCTTCAGAATAAAATTGAAATGTTTTGGGGGTTAATATGAAATGCTGTGGTCGCTGCCACTATTTTTACTGTGAACATACCTTCAACAAAAATACAGCAGTCTAAAAATAAAATAGCAACTCATCGGATGATAAGTACATCGTCGTAGTCGGTCCAACAACTTGCAACCAATTGCGTGCGCAACCGCAGTTGCACTTGAACTTGCGAAGCCATGCAGATAATTAAGAACATTACAACAGTTCCAGCTGCATAACGTCAATAACACAGGCAATTTAAAACAATTTTCCAACGCTTRKYCAAGTTCAAGATAGGTATGTCCAATGGAGGCAGACTTACGCATCGGTATGAATGTGCGCAGCGCAATGGCACGTACTCTCATTACCGCTTTCGCAAATAGCCGCTGCTGCAACAAAGACAACAAGCAGGCSACCGCAGTAATAAGCGAAACTTCTGCGACCATTCACTTTTTGCSATTTGTCTGCCACATTCGAAACTACCTTGCCTGCACCACATCCCAAAAGCTAGAAGTGTTTATGGAGATTTGCGATGCAAGTAAAAAATGCGTTCCTCGAGAATGCCGTCGTTCTGCTCTTAGTTAACGCAAAATCAATTTAGATTTTTCAACTSCTGCCCAATTAGAGGATGACAGTAGGTTTTGGTATAAATACGATTGTTCAATCGTGGTTTGGGCAACAGTACGCTTTGCGACAACCGACGTGTGCAGACCATTTCTGAATAAGTTCTTCCCTTGCAAATTTATAAGAGACGAGAAAATGTTCAAACTGGTAAGTGGTAAAAGAGCACCCAAAAATAGGTATTCATTACAAAGTACTTTTCTTCGATAGGTGGCACTGCTTTTGTTCMTTAACGCCGTTGTAGGCAAAGTAACCGAAAAGCCTGATGTCTTGGATGCCGCAGAAGACACCGAAATTCACTTGGTCCCAACACTGCAGGCCTCTTCGATAATCCAAGAACCCACATTGGCCAAGGTGGCCGATTTGATTCACAGTGTRCCCACCGCTGTTTCTCATCAGAGTTCGACCATAGTTCACGACCGCGCCAATGTAGTCACGCCGATTRTAGCACCAGCAATTAAGACACACATCACTCCGGTTATCAACTCGTACGTTTCGCCACTAGCACGTTCTTTTCCCAGCTTCTATCCGTATAGTTACTATTATGACTTCTATCCTTATACCTACAAGAGTATCTACCAAGTATAAAGCTGTATCATAAGAAATTGACTATTATGACATAAAAATAAATGCTTTTAAGATGATTTCCTGGAATATTTCTATCCAAAACAGTTGCCAAGGGCGATTTCCAAACACCTTGTAAAAGTTGTAAGGAGTTCAAATTTAACCGCGAAGTCCATTCAAAATATCTTTACAGGGCTAAATGGAAGTCGATATTATGTGGAATTTACCCATTGCTTTTTTCGAAGATTTTTATTTTATTGGATTCAGTGACTAACTTTAGTTCAATATTTTTGAGATGATGCTAAAGAACAGTTTTGGTTAGACTTGGGTTGGTTGAAAATACCTACATTACCATTATTCATGGTTAGAAATACGATAGGCCATGAAATTAAAATGGTAATAAGGCTATGAAATGAAATACAATTTTCACTAAGGAAGAAAAGTACAAATTACAAGTATATTATCCAATAGTCAATGCTGGATCTCAAGATGGGTAGTAATACCAACTGAGCCAATAGTAGGCTCAGTAGTCCGGTTATGTGCTAAATAATGTCTCCTAAGTTTTTAGATGTCAAGGTGGGACATCAGATAAGTTCGTTTAACAGATTTGRCAAACCGATGCTTTTTAATTATTTTTTTAGCTCATACAACAAAAGACGAAACATTGGCATAAAATAGTATAATTTATACAAATATACCTTTAAATAAAAAGAGAAGAAAAAAGGAAGTCTTATAGTACCATATATATGGAAGAGCATATCCATAAACATACTTATGATCCGAATCGAGATCGGCTTCAGCGATGAATGGTTTTTATCTTATGATATCAAAACTCGTATGCAAATGTAAAGTTTTTATATTTATGTAGCTATTATAGTGTTTGTGTGCAGTAGCTTGGAATTGAAAGGCTTCGTTTAGTAGAAATATTTTGTTAGTCATATAATACGAAGTCCTTGAAAAACCACATGAAGGTGTGCAAAGAATGTGGTTATGCATTTCGAACGCAAATCCACTTGAATGAGCACTTTCTAATTCCAAGCCACACTAGAATTATCATAGGAGCGAAATTAAGGGGTAGGTGTAAGAGAAGAGCAAAAGTGCAACGCAAGAGCCACAACAGGCAAAGYAACAAAGTTCCATAACTTGCGTGCGATGTTTTTTTTATTTTTCGCGTATTTGTTTTCTTTATGTCACAGTCATTCGAGCAAGAAAATCAACGCTACAAAGCRGACGTGAGGAAATGCTGCAATGCAAATGCATGGTATTTTCACGACTGACGAGGACGCACACGCGTGGCACATGTGCCTGCAATGGAGTGCAATTCGCCAATTCTCCAAATACAGGGTTTGTGCGGAAGATATTAGGACTGAGTCGATTAAAAAAATTTATTGAAACAATAGTTACAATTTTTTAAAAACTTTCAAAATAGGCTTGTTCTGCTTCGATTCAGCGCTGCTAACGCCGAGGTGCATGCTGCTTGGATCCCTTCTGGATCCCTTCTCAAAATGCTTGCCTTTCATCGCGTTTTCAGGCAAGAAACGAAAAAAGTCCGGATGCTCACATCTGAGTTGTAGGGCGACTGTGGAAGCATTGGGACGCAGCCTTGGTTAGAAGCTGTTCACAAGAGAGGCGGTGTGAGCCGAGGCTGTGATGTCTTGTCTGACCCGATTTACCCTTCGTTTGAGTCTCTTGCGGACTTCCACATAAAACTTGGCGTTCACGGTTTGTCCAGGAGGARCAAATTCATGGTGGATAATGCCTTTGATGTCAAAAAGCACACTGAGTATCGCTTTCTCTTTGGATTTTTCCTCTCTTCCGGTCTTCATCAGCGACCTCTTCCCGACCCTCCAAAAGGCTTGGTGCCACCGAACACATCACTTCTTACAGCAACATCTGGGTAAGCTTTTCTGATCATACCAATCGGCTCAGTMGCAGATTTACCGAGCTTCACGCGAAAATGTTTTTCCTGACTCTCCAGATGCTCGGAGACAACTGACTTGCCACTCATTCGTTAGCTAGGCCCTCTACCGAATGCAGTCGGTGCGCGCACGCTCCAAAGTACAGTCGCGGCAAAAGAAAATCAGTCCTATTACTTACCGTACAAACCCTGTACCTTCCTTACATTCGTCGGAATGTGTGCGATGTGGGTGAATTCTGTTTCCCATGTTCGAAAATATAACTATTTTGCCAATAAAATTAGGTTCTAGTATATTGACACGTATCACGATAATGGACCTTACAGTTTTTGATCAAAGAGAGGGACAGTTTTGTCAGTCTTTCTTAACGGTTATACTACATAAAGCCTTTGCACTTCTAGTTTTTTAAAAGAATACTAGAATGCTAGAACTTCACATATGCAAAGACCTTGGGGCTTGAGAAAGATCCAAACTGAGTGAAAGRCCTGCATTTTGGTGTCAAACAGTGTGTGCCTTTGGTTTACAGGTTTACAGACAACTATTCYCGATTTCGCAAAGCGCGACAAGCTTGCTCACTAGTTTGTGAACCCAATTCAATACTGTATTTGTTTTGGGATACTAACCCCATCATTGCGAGCACATACCATGTGTACTTACACCCACGTATGTCCGATGGAAGACACTTGAATGGGGTTAATTAGCATAGCTGCCATGGGCAAATGAATTTGGCCTGCTGCGGAGACAGCTGTCAATTGGCTGTAATGAACGGAAAATTTCAAAATTCCTCAGCGTAAGCAAAAATACTAAGCTAACAGCTTRTTACCATAGGAAAAGGAAGCATTTGAGGACTGCACGCATGACAAGGATATGCGCGAATGTACGTGTGCACAAAATCATATRCGCGTATTAACACAATTCTAAATTTTCAGAAAGCGTCAATTCAAAAATTCGTGATATCGCTTAGCACCAGCAGTTGCGTCCGTCAATCAACGCTTCTTCATTGCCCTCAGTTAATTTATTCGAGAGCAGTTGTTTGAGCACTTGCTTGCAATCAAGTGTCGTCGCTGGTTATGGATACAACGAACATAAATTCTAAAAGAGTATACATATATACATATACTATATACAATGTGACAAAAATGCTCCCAGAAATTCGCCAGACAAATGATTTTCAGAAAAAAAAATGTATTTGCTACGTTGGTAGGGCTGTCCTTAATTAATATGCCAAATATGAGCATGATCTGTCAACTAGATTGCTTACAGCAGCTGCTTAAGTCGGTACACTTCAGTAATGAAGAAATGACACGCTCTGGACGACCTTCAACGTCTGCAAAAGATGAAAATATTAAAAAAGTGAAGGAGACATTGTGCTTGAATATCGGGACAAAATCGACAAGGGTTAGAGAGATGCCAAGAAAGCTTGACATGAGTTTGACAAACAAGTCAACAATCATCGGAATAGAGCGGAAAAGACGAGCCGAAACCAAAAATATCACTCCAAAGCCGCTCAAAAATCAAGGCGATGCTCATTGTTTTTTTTCGATATTCGTGGTTTAGTGCATCATGAATGTGTTCTTGAGGGACAGACGATTAATAAGAAGTTGTATTTGGCTGTATTGAGGCGTTTACGTGAGAACACCCATCGAAAACGGTCGGAATTGGGGAAGAACAATTCGTAGATTTTACACGATGATAAAGCAGCATCGCGTTGAGCCACTGTGGTGACCGAATTTAAAGTCAAAAACGCAATGAATACGATCGATCAACCATCGTATTCAACAGATTTTGCACCATGTGATTTCTTCTTTCCTCAAACTATAATTGCCACTCTGTGGAACCAGTTTTCAGTCGATCGAAGAGATAAAACCAAATCCGCTGTTTGTTATTTCACACGTTAAAGTTTATGAAGCAGCAATTATCATGCTTACGAGTAAACTTCTGCTTGCGGACTGGATGGTAGGCTTTGTACTTAATTTCAGAAGTTTTGAGGTATGTGAAACGTTCAATTSCTGTGATCTGCTCATAAAAGATACCCGAATCATTTGTATAAGTTATGAAGTAATAAACTTCAATCATCTAACAAAAAACATCATAAAAAAAAAATCATTCAAGTCTCGCAAACATCGGGTGATTTCTTTCATATATCACTGCTGATTTAAGATAACAGATAGTAGCATSGCTAATAGAACTACTATATAATAAACACAAAGGTAAATAAAGGATGTTTGGAGTCCTATTTTAGACTGACTTGAACGTTCTCACTTCTCTAGTATACGAGTATGTTTACTCTGAAGAAACTTCTTAGTATGCTGATATGAYACAATTAAATCTTTCTCATTTCTGAAATAATTGCTACCATATTTAGACTGTTTTGTATTATATTMAATCAAATTGGATTTGCTAATATTCAAAACACAGCATCCCGAAATAATCACATAATATTAATCACAGGCGGTAGACAATTATACACACACTCATATAGTACTATTTGCAATGAGAAACTTGGTAATATGCATACACACATACGATGTAGTATGTATATTGAAGACAATGAGTGTTGCTAGAACATTGAAGAAACGTCACTTTGAACGCAACATTGTCAGTCTCCATTGACAGCGAGTGACCCACGTGGTTTGTGCTGAAACCGAATTGTGGTTTCCTAATTGAGTTATAAGCTGGCCAATTACGGCATTTCCGTGATCATCATTCGCAGCCACAAAGCATTCGTTGTCTGCTCGTGTGGCGACATTATATTTGCTGTTAATACATATGGACTGGCATACATTGTTTAGGACTTGAGTAGAAGAGACCACATTAATAAAGATGGGAGTATGCACGGGGATACGCATCAAAATTTCTCCTCAATCCACCTCACTGCCATACTGGATATGAACTAATGTTGAACCGCATGGGATTGTCGAAGCTACAAAGCTTTCGAAATCATAAATTTATTGCTCTTGTTGGTGGTTAATTTGACCTACAGCTTGTTTGTACCAGTAGTTCTGAAAACTAACAGTCCAAATTCATTCATWTGCATAGAAAAATGTGGTCGGTTGACTGGTTCACTGATCATCTTAGTCGGTCTAGTTACGATACAGTTTATACAAGTGCATTTTACGGAAGGAGGTCTTTGGTAAGTTGGTAAGAAGCCTGCAAGTRTAGTA